TTCCCTCTTCCCCTTCAGGGCACGGTTAATTAAACTCTCACAAAGCCAGGCAGCACAAAGCAATTTCCCTGCTCAGCACAACCCGAGGAGGCCTTTCACTTTTTGGCTGGAGGAAGGGAACTGCATCCCACTGCTTGCTCTTCCCGTATTGCCTGTCCCCCCAGCATGTGCACATGTACATCCCACCTCCGTCCGCCCTTGTTACCAGCCAGGCTTTGTCATTAGGTGGGCCTGGCCCTTAAAAGAAGAAACAGCCCCTGGCTTTCAGACTGACTCCTAAAATCAGCCCTCAAGCCTCCCTCCCTGAAGGACTGAGCTCTTGCAGCTCCTCACACGCCGCGGGAAGGGAGCTGCACGGGCAGGAGGGGCTCCGTGGCGCTGCGTGCTCCAGCAGCCGCGGCACACAAGCCTGCATCCAGTTATCCGTAGCATCACGGCAGCTGGTGTTTAAAATCCAGAAGCTTCTCCCCTCTGCTCTGCAGCCTGTGGAGTGTTGGTCAGATTTTTAGCCTGAAATTATTTGATTTTCCCTTTCAATTCTTGCAGGGGGGGCGGGGAGGTAGGTAATGAATGCAGCTGTGCCTTGAACTTAGCCTTGTACGGGGAGAGTCATGCAGCGCTGACCCACCCGAGTGCCAGCTAGGGTCTTGCACACTGAGATTTGCCTCCCGGGGCTTCAGCGTGTGGGACACACAGCCTTGGCACGCAGCCCAGGTGAACGCACATCCTTCCCCTCTGCTTTGGGGATGGGGACAGAGAGGGGCTTGCCTGCTTTCACAAGCTGCAGACGGGACAGGGAGTGCAGGAGAGTCTCAGTCCTGTTGGGTACCTCCCCGCTGTCCTCCTTGTGCACGCAGAGGGTCCCCCAGCCACACCGGGCCACCGAGGCGAGCGTTCACCACCAGCCCTGTGGCCTGGTCCCCTGCACCCCTGTCCCTGGCACTGCTGCTGTCCCCATGTGCTGTCACCCAGGGGAAGGGGCTGCCCAGGCCATTGCCGCATGGGGCTGTTCCCCCTTTGCCCCCTCCAAGGAACGCCCTGGACAAAGGAAAGGGCCTTTAGGATGAGAGGGAACAGCCTCAAGCTGCGCCAGGGCAGGTTTAGGTTGGATAATAGGAAAAATTTCTTCACGGAAAGGGCTGTCAGGCCCTGGCCCAGGCTGCCTGGGGCAGGGGCTGAGTCGCCATCCCTGGGCGCATTGTA